CACTCGGGAGGCAGAGCCAGGCGGATCTCTGTGAGTTCGAGGCCAGCCTGGGCTACCAAGTGAGTTCCAGGAAAGGCACAAAGCTACACAGAGAAACCCTGTCTCAAAAAACAAACAAAAACAAAAAAACAAAAAAAAGTTTTTTGTTTTTTTTTTTTAAGGGTGGAGTGTGTATGTCCTACAAGTGTTTGATGTTGAAGGTTATAAGGATTCTAGTGATGTGCTGAATTTGTCATCTGTATCAGAACTTCTTAAAATTCCTACTAGCAAAAGCTGGGCCATTATCAGTTTTTAACTGTGTGGGAATGCCCGTAATAGTGAATGTCTACAATAAGGTAGAAATAAGAGCTTTGGAGGATGGTAATTGATCTATCTTTGAATGTTGAATCGTTAATAACTTGTTATGGGAGACTTGACCATCAACACAAATTGTCATATAACCATCTTTTCTTGGATTAGCAGTGTGGGCATCCGAGACCTCGGAGTCACTGACATAAACAAGAATGTTGTTGTCTCTTCCCAGTTAACAAAGGGAAACAATGTTGCCTCTTCCCAGTTAACAAAGGGAAACAATGTTGTCTCTTTCCAGATAACAAAGGGAAACAATGTTGTCTCTTCCCAGTTAACAAAGGGAAACAATGTTGTCTCTTCCCAGATAACAAAGGGAAACAATGTGTTGTCTTCCCAGTTAACAAAGGGAAACAATGTTGTCTCTTCCCAGTTAACAAAGGGAAACAATGTTGTTGTCTTCCCAGTTAACAAAGTGAAGCTCAGGAGGGTGAGGTACGTAAGCCTAGTATGTCTCAGCAGTGACAGATGCCCGCCACAGAGACAGTACAGGGAAAATAGCCACCTTGTAGTCACACCCTTCCCCTGAGGTTTCTCATCAACTCTTTTTCCTCAGTCACCGATTTCTTCGCCCTAACCAGCGTTGGTAGGGGTATCTGTTCTTCCGGCATGACTCTGCCACTCCATTCTCTCTCTTTTCTTCAGGTATAGCCTCTGCAGACGCTTTGGAACCCCTTGGTCCATTTTCCAGAGGCCAAGTCAGTCTTTCAAGTTTTTCACTGGCTTTTCAGCACCTGGGGGGGGAGGTTGGGGGGGGGATACAAACACAGCTTCTTCAGCTCCATTGAATTAATGGAGCTGGGCTGCCCAATTGGCCAGACATAACATCTCTCCGAAGAACCGCAACACTGAACTTTTTTCAGAGGGGCCCCAAAATGTTCCACAGCAGTGAGGCCATTCTTGCCCAAATTTTTAAAAATCTTAAGTATATAAAAATAGAAGGTAAAATATTGTGAGGAATAGCCATATCACCCTCCTCCTCCTCCTCCTTTATTTTTAAACAACGTTTAAGCTGTCCATTAGTTCTTTTTATAAAAGATTGACCCTGAGGGTTATATGGAACGCCAGTGATGTGGGTTATATCAAACCATTGGCAAAATTCCTCAAAAGGCTTGGCAGTATATGCAGGAGCATTGTTAGTTTTTTTTAATATTTTACATAAGATAGCAGAAACTAGTGTTAAGTCATCCGAACTGCTTAACAAAAATTTTAATTTTTTTAATGTGGAATACAAATTTAAAGGGTTAATCCATTTCTTTATTTTTGTAAACATCCCTTTTAGCATTTTATTATTACTTTTATTATTATTATTTTGTAGAGAACAGAATATCATCCATAGGATGTACAATAAAAAAAGCAAGAGGAAACAGCTCTTTAGCTCTTTTTAAAGCAGTACTAACAAACTTTTGACATCAAGTTGAGTTATTTGTCATAATTTATTGCCTTTTCCTTGTTGATTGACTATCAGAAGTGGAGGCATTGTCTGCCCTTGGAGGCCATAGCCCTAGTTAAACCCTTCAGTATGCCAAGCCCAATATCAACACAGAGGTGGATGCAATCATTAGCATGTCCTTTCTTTGGAAAGGGACGGATGGCAGTCTGATATGCAGCATTAGCATTTGCTGCAAGCTGCAAAAAATATATAAAGTAGGATTTCCGGTGATTATGACAAGCTAATACTTGGAAGATGCCAAGGGCCTTCCAGAGGTCAAGCTGGGGCTCAAGGAGTCTTGGTGATATTTGGCTTTTGATTATTAGCCATTTCCTGCTATGAATTTCTCATGTGCTATTGTAGCTTTTCCATCATTCACTGGGGACCATTTCCCCTCTACAAATGGAATATTTAGAAAACCGTCTATGCTGACAGTTATGCACAGCCAGAACCCCAGTTCAATCCTCCCTGTAATTATTGCCATTGGCAGCATCTGGCCAGGACCATCCCTGAACAGACAAATGAAAGTATCTTATCAGAGATACCTCTGTACTCTCTAAGAACAGACTTAAGCATCCAGACTATCTGTTTGAGAAGGCTTGGCGGATGTGCTAATTAAGCTTAACTTTCTCCTTTCCAAAGTCTTATCTCTAGTTTTATATCCACCCTTAACAATTAACTCAGAACTAAAGGGTTCCAACTTACAGGTGCATCTAGCTGTGACCGAAGTTGCCTAGCCAAGTTGCCTAGCGACCGAGCACACTAGCCAGAAATGCCCAGAGCAGAGATAGCTTGGAGAGATAAGGGTCAAAGGAAAAAATGGCAGTTTTATTTTCAGAGGACTAGACAGAGAAGAGAAAAGAGAATGGAAGAACTAGATGGGTAAGAACTTGAGAGGAACAAATTGAGATGGGGAAGAACTAGATTGAAGGACTAGAAGAAAGTACTAGAGGAATGAGATGAAGATGAGAAAGAGCCAGATGGGGAAGAATAAGATGAGAAAGAAGGAGATGGGAGAGGAGCTAAGATGGGAAAAAAACCAGATGGATGAGAACCTAGATGGGGCAGAATTAAGATAGAACTTAGAGGGGACAGCAGATAAATGTAGAGAGAAATCAGGCAAGACAGGAGCTAGGCATGAGAGCAGAATAGAAGCCATGTAGAGAGAGAACTGACTCAGAAGAAATAAAGTGAATAGACTAAAGAGTTTTGTGTACATAGATTCATTTCTTTTCATCAAAGGTTAAATTATCAGCAGGTTGTAAATTCTTCCAAGGACCCTGGGAGAGGACTTTTGAGGGGCTGGAACCCCCATAGTCTCCATTAACTATTCTCATATGCCAATTGCTTAACAATAGTGTTTCTGCCTCTCCATCAACTGAAAGACAGCTGATCACCTGTAGAAGACAAGGAACAAAATCTTAATGGGGCTCAATTGTCTAATATTAGAAAGTTCCTGCCTTTTTTCCCCCAGAGTCTGGTAACTTATGCCGTGTGTCCTCACTCCCAGAAAACAAAGGCGTTCCTCTGGGGAACCCTGGCACATCATCTTCCCTTCCCCCATTCATTCCAATCATCTTAGTCCTCAGGTAGAGGATGATGTAATGTTCAGGCAGGGGAGTGGACGGCCAGGGGCCTTCATCCCAGAACAGAGCCCACATTTTTACTTTCCAATTTCTTCCATTAGGTCCCTTCCAACCTTGCACTGGAAAAACCCCCTTTTTAGCTTGTAAATTCTTTTTGTGTGTGTTTCATTATTTAGCTCATACTCATACAAAGAATCTGTCAGAGTCTTTTCTAAATCCTTTGGCTTGTCTCCATTTATTGTTTGTATCACAATATGGACCATTGTCCAAGTTACCCAGAATTGTATCAGAATTCTTTCTCCTTGTCTACGGGCTTTCTCTAGTTTTTCTTTAACTTGACCTCACACTCTGGGATCTAAAGTGCCCTTTTCAGGAAACCAAGGGTTACAGTTTGTTATTAAATCCCAGCATTCCTGCAGCAGGGGCTTTAGACATCACAGCAGCACTCTCTTTACAGAAAGGAGGTATCAACTCCAGATATGGCGCCAGTTTTCCTGCCTTTTGCCCCCATATTAATCCCGGGTTACCTCCTTCTGCTGGGTTCCCCTGGTCCTCTTGTAACTTTTCAGTTAGGTCCCTGGTTCAGGTGCCACTTGTCAACTCTTGTCCACCTGTGCAGATCTTGTCTATGTGACCTGGGATCCGAGAACCTGAAGGAATGGGCCGGACTACAGTGTAATCTACTGTAGCTAAAGTACAGCTGCAGAAGGCATGGACTACAGTCTAATACTGCAGAAGGAATGAGCCGGACTACAGTGTAATGCTGCAGACAGCTGGACCTCCCTTTTAGTGGACTTTTGTAGACACAAATGTAACAAAGAAGGTTACAATCTGTGGAAGGTTGTTTGAGTTCAGAAAAACATGATCAAAAAAAGAAAAAAAAAACATGTAAATAAACACTGGTAGACATGATCAAAAAAAGAAAAAAAAACATGTAAATAAACACTGGTAGAGCCAGGTAGTGGGGGCCCATGCCTTTAATCCCAGCACTCGGGAGGCAGAGGCAGGCGGATCTCTGTGAGTTCAAGGCCAGCCTGGGCTACAGAGCGAGATCCAAGACAGGCACCAAAAGTACACAGAGATACCCTGTCTTGAAAAACCAAAATAAATAAATAAAATAAACACTAGTATACACATATTAAATATTAACAGAGCAGCCCTTTCCCAGAACTTTTTCAGGACAAACTGATTTAAACACAATTGCCTGGCATTTACTATGGACCCTATCTGGGAAAGCAGAAAAGCAAGGCAGAAGACCATATGCAGATTCAGGGTCAGACTGGGTTCTATCGCTGTGTTCTGGCATCCAACAAGAATAAACATGTCTTATAAACTGAATGTAAATGTTTGTCTAAGGAGGTACAAAATCATGTCCAAGAACACTCCAGGGAACAAAATGCACCCGAGATAAAAGGCCCTCTGCCTTTTTTTCCTGGAGCCTCTTTCTCAGTTCCCCCAAGGCAAAGTTCATGATGAATTATTTTGACCGTGTGCCCATAGGACCCTAAGGAATCCCAGACTTGCAGCCCTGCCCTTTCCTAGAAATCGAAACTGAAAAGCCCTGTACCTGGGTTCAACCCACCTGGGAGACACAGGAGCCTCAGGCTGCCGAGGGAAAGCTTCAGGGCCTGAGAATGGAGCAGGGACTCAGCAACACCCCGGCCTCAGAGCTGGACAAGTTCATAGAGGACCACCTCCAACCCAACACCAGCTTCTGTAATGAGGTCAGAGTAGACATCAACATCATATGTGATTTCCTGAAGGAGAGATGCTTCCAAGGCACGGCTCACCCTGTGAGGGTCTCCAAGGTGGTGAAGGTGAGCCCCCACTCAGCCCAAGCTGACCCAGGTGGGGTGGGAGAGGACCCTCAGGAGCCAGGCTGCAGCCCTGATCCCGTCTCCTGACCTCTGATCACAGCTGTGTGGTGTGGTGGGTTCTGCCCCCAGGTCCCACATCTGTATTAAAAAAAGAGCCTCAGCTACAGTTTATGTTTCACCCTCCCAGGCCACATCCATTTCAGAGTCAGGGAAACTGAGGCCAAGCTTGGGGAAGCAGTTTTCTGGAGAGTGGTGGATGGGGGAGGGGGGCCAACCTTTGCACTACTGTGTGACCTTGGGTGAGTGAATTACTATCTCTGTGCCCAGGGTTCTCTGCACACCTATATTGATTGACACAGGACATGCAGACTAAGTGTGACACAGAGGACGGAACAGGACCCCATGTGCTGGTGACTGGATTGACGGATGCTCACTGGGCAGGGTCCGGGTCTGTCCAATTGGACTTCGTCAGTACCTAATTCTCAGTCGCTGTGAAGGCTGCAGAAACCGTGTTGTTAGTGGTTTTGTTTTTCACTTTCACATTTAAAATCTTGTGGATGGGGGCTGTGTGCTTGCTCGTGCAGGGGCCCTCAGAGTTGAAGAGTGGGTGTCACATCCCTTAGAGCTGGTTTATAACACAGGTGGCTGTGAGCTGGCCTACGTGGGTGCTGGGCCCCAAATTCAGGTCATCCTCGAGAACAGCAGGTGCTTTTAACTATTGAGGCACACCTCCATCCCCAGATATGACATTTTTATTATTACTATTTATTGTTATTATTTACATCTCAACCATAGTTTCCCCTCCCTCCTCTCCTCCCAGTCCCTCTCCCCCTCCTTCCCTCTGTCCCTCCCCCCAATCCACTCTTCCTCGGTGTCTCTCCGGAAGAGGACAGGCCTCCATAGCTATCAATCAAACATGGCATATCAAGTTGCAGTAAGACTAGGCACCTCCCCTCGTATGCAGGCTGAATCAGGGAACCCAGTATGAGGAATAGGGTCCCAAAAGCTAGCAAAAGAGTCGGAGACAGGCCCTGCTCCCACGGCTAGGAGTCTCACAAGAAAACCAAGCTACACAATCATATCCTATATGCAGAGGGCCTAGGTCAGTCCCATGCAGGTTCCCTGGTTGTCAGTTCAGTCTCTGTGAGTCCAGATTAGTTGATTCTGTGGGATTTCTCCAGATGTCCTTGACCCCTCTGCCTCCTACAATCCTTCCTCCCTCTCTTCTGCGGGGCTCCCCAAGCTCCACTTAATGTTTGGCTGTGGATTCCCAGAAATGACATTTGTAATGGCCACTCAACAGTGGCTGGTGCTGACGAGTGTTAGTGATTGTTCTCAGCATTTTATTTAGGGAGGCTCTCCTTAGTATGGCTCTATGACTTTTATGTTATTCTTTATTACACAAGGACATTTTCTTATATGATGTCATGTGAGCATACTCCCCACAACTAACAATGCTAACAATGGAGTTCCTGACAACACTTTCATATGTCTGTGTTAATTTACTCACAGTCTCCTCCCACCCACCATCATCTCCCTCCTGTGTACCCCACCCTGAGAGTCTGCCTCTGACTTCATGTCACATGTGTGTCACTAGATTTCACATGAGAAAAAAGCGCTATGGTGTCTTCCGCCATTACCATCTCTTGCTCCTTATTTCCTTCAGACCCCTCCCCCATCTCTCTCATAGACCCGGGTCCCCCTTACATCATACTCAAACATATTTAAATCTGGATTCCACAAAAAAAGTAAAAAACAAAAACAAAAACCCTGATGTTCATCATTCTGAGTCTGACTTACTTCTTGTACCTCAAGGAGATCCAGAACCATCTATTTTCCTACATAGATCCTGATTTCACTCTTCAGGGCTGACTAGTATTCCACTGCACATGTGCCAGCTTTCTCTATCCATCCATCGCCCTGGGTGGTGGACCCCTAGGCTGTTCAACATCTGGACAGCTGTTATTGACTCTGCCTGATGTCTGTCATTCTACTCGTTGTCTTTCAGGGCGGCTCCTCGGGCAAAGGCAAAATGCTGAAGGGCAGGTTCGAAGCTGACCTGGTGGTGTTCCTTAACAATCTCACCAGCTTTGAGGATCAGTTAAAGCGACGGAGAGAGTTCCTAAAGGAAATTGAGAATCAGCTGTGCCAGCTACAGGGAGAGAAAAAGTTTCCAGTGAAGCTTGAGGTCCTCCGATCGTGGAGGAAGAACTCCCCTGGGCTAATCTTGAGGCTGAGCTCCCCGCAGCATCAACAGGAGGTGGAGTTTGATGTGCTGCTGGCCTATGACCTCCTGGGTAAGCCAGTCATCCGTAAGGCTCAGCAGAGTCTGGAGTCGCCCCTCTAAGTGCCTCTACCCTCTCTCTGTGGTGTGTGTGTGTGTGTGTGTGTGTGTGTGTGTGTGTGTCGCATGTGGATTTATTGTGTGTGACTGTGATCATGAACTATGACTAACACACCTCAGGAGCCATCCATCATTTTTTTTTTTTTTTTTTTTGGTTTTTCGAGACAGGGTTTCTCTGTGTAGCTTTGCGCCTTTCCTGGAACTCGCTCTGTAGCCCAGGCTGGCCTTGAACTCACAGAGACCCGCCTGCCTCTGCCTCCCGAGTGCTGGGATTAAAGGCGTGTGCCACCACCGCCCGGCGCCATCCATCATTTTTGAGACCTGGTCTCTCTGGCCTGGAATCTTGGCTGACTGGGCAGAGCCCCGGAACCCTCTTGACTCCCCTCCCCAGCTCTGGGATTATCATCCTAAATCACCACTCCCAGCTTCTCCCTGAGTCCTGGGCTTCACACTGGGTCCTGACAAGCACATTACTCACTGATCATCTCTACAGCCCACACCTTCTATTCCTGAACTGAAAACCCTTATCAATTGAGAAACTCTCCCAAACAGAGTATTTCTTTAAAGCTGAGCTGGAGAGGGGGGACTTTAGAATTTGGGGAGTGGGAGTAAGAATCCATCAGAGAAGGACATTAAGTAGCACGCTGGCTCAGTGAGGGGTGAAGGCACCTTAGATGCCCCCTCGGCTGACCAGCAATATTTGTGGCTGACTGTGGATTTTGTCTTTCTAAACATGAGGCAGCAGATAATTCATAGAAAATTAATAGCTGATGCATTTTCTCCCAAAGAATGGAAAACCTCAGGCCTGGGCAGAGGCCTGGGTGTCTGTGGGAGGGCTTGTGCAAGATGCAGAATTTCCCGGAGGATGGCTGTCTGCCTTGGGAACACTGGAAGCCCAGCCACCACCATCCCAAACCCCCACATGCACACGCCTTATACCATTAAACATTAATGATCCTCTATATAAAGATCTTACACCAGGCCTGACACAGTGTGTCTCCAAAATTACAAATTGCCCAACTCTACCCAAAGACAACTGGGAACATCCTCTGATAGCACAGCAGGGTCTTGGGGACTTTAGAGAATAGTTGAGGCTTTACATTTGGGGAACACAGCACCCCCTGCTGGCCACTGTGAGAACTGCTGCTATTAACTTAGAGACAAGGCCACTGCCCTTGGCTTAGAAGAGCCATGGACACAGTGCAGAGTCTCAGGCAGCAGGGAATGAGAGGCCAGCCTGGGAGCAGGAGCAGGGCAGCATGCTGTGGGAAGCTGCAGGGGGCTTAGAACCCTGCTGAGTGGAGGGGGTGAGAGGGGGTGACCCAGAAATGAACTGAGAGGGCGGCTCCCTAGAAGTCTGTCTTGGTTGTGGACTTCCCCAGCCTCAGCAGCTTTCCAGTGAGGAAGTGGGGCCACCACAGAAGGACCACCTTGGAAATGGCAGTGTGGGTGACAGCCCAAGAGAGGACCCAAGGCACAGTCCTTCCCACGATGACTTAGCAGATGAGCCTGACTGTGTGCTGGTCCCTGACTGACATTGGAAATAAGCACATGAGACCCTCCTGGGTCACTGCATAAATGGATGGGTCCCAAACTCCAACAGTAGGTGATTTTGTCCTGTGCCAGCATCATGGCTTCATGGTATGGCCTTTTAAACCACAGTCACACGCTTAAGGCACAACCTGCTGCCTGCCTAGTCTACTCAAACGTGCGCACTATCACACACAGCTGCACACCTACATCTATTCTGTAGCCTGTTGCTCATCCACTCTACAAGTTCACCACCCACAGAGAGGGGGGAGAGGGAAGGGGACAGGGAGAGGGAGAGGGAGAGGGAGAGGGAGAGGGAGAGGGAGAGGGGAGAGAGAGAGAGAGAGAGAGAGAGAGAGAGAGAGAGAGAGAGAGAGAGAGCGCGCGCCACATGATATTAAGTCAGTCATTACAGAAAATCATGCACTGGAAACACACAGTGGCTGGGGGAGGCAGCTCAGTGGTTACAGGCAATTGCAGCACAAGCATGAGGACCTGAGTTCAAACCCCAACACCCACCTAAACTTATGAAGTTCCGCACATGGACCTGTAACCCCAGAACTATGGGGGACAGAGACAGGAGAATCTCTGTGGTATAACTGTAATGAATGAGGCAATTCCACGTAATTTATCTGGTAATCAAGAGAGATTTATTTCTGGGGTAACCTACAGCCAGTAGGGTTTGGATACAGAATCTGGGAGAGATGAGGTATAGATGTAACCGTCTTATTAAATAAGAAACCCAGAGCCAAATGCAGAGTTAAAAGCCCAAGAGGTCAGAGCAGTAGCTAAGAGCTGAGACTTAAAACCGCCTTCTTACCCTTCCTGCTGCTGCTGTCCTTCCCCTCCTACTTCCTGTGTGTCTGTCTTTTTATTGACTTTCTGTTCTGCCTTCTTATTGGTTGTAAACCCAACCATACGACAGCCTCGTCACTGCCTGTCTATATAGACCTCTAGGTTTCTATGGTTGGTATTGAGATTAAAGGTGTGTGTCTCCATGCTGGCTGTATCCTTGAGCACACAGAGATCTGCCTGTCATGTGATCGGGGATTAAAGGCGTGCGCCACCACCGGGCTTCTGCTATGGCTTGCTATTAGATCTGACCCCCAGGCAACTTTATTTATTAACATACAAATAAACTCACATTTCAGTACAAATAAAATATCACCATAATGAGGCACCATCCAGTGGAGAACTCTGGCTTGGTCTCCCATCCAGTTTCCAGGACCACAAGGTACCAAGAAGGGGCTCCCTCTCAGCCACACCCCAGGAGCAGGTCATAGGCAGGTGTGGCAGTTACCTGCTCTCACTCTAGGGGCAGTGTTTCAAGGTCAAAGCTGGAACAGCTACCTACTATACTGTGGCCTGATGGATGCCAGCCAAGCTCCTCATTCACAGAGAGACCCTGCCTCTGAGGGAGAAGGAGATAAACTGTAAAGGAAGACACCCAGCGTCTTCTCCTGTTTCAGAACACACATGTACACTTCCTCACAAACACGCCAACGAATTATACACCATAAACAAAATAGGGCAGGGACTCTGTAAGCATGAGATACATGAAATGTAAATGCAGCAGACTGCTCCACGGTAAACTCTGACACAAGCAGGAGTGTACACACACACACGACAAGCCCCGTGCAGAAGACACTGGACCCCAGAGCATGGTTGGCCATCATTAGATGACCCTGCAGCTCTCTTGTGTGTGACCTCAGTGTGCTGTTTCCACCCACCGCTGTCTCCAGGCCTGTGGGGAAGGCACTGCACTAGGATCAGTAGGGGGCAGGAACTCTCCAGGGCCACATGGTATATGCAGTCCTGAGGGGTAGTGGACACATGGATGTATGGGGAGTGATGCTTGCTGTTGTAAAGCTCTGCCCTGTTCCCTGAACCCCACAGGCTGTGAGCTTGTCACCTCAGACAGACCAAAGGACCACGGAAGGGCTGAGGTGTTAAATCGAATAAAACTTCCTTAACAGGTAGTGTCTGCTTCTACAGCAAGCCTGACCCTGAAATCTACAGAAAGTTCATCAGCGAGTGCACCTCCCTGAGGAAGGTGGGAGAGTTCTCCACCTGCTTCACAGAGCTCCAGAGAAACTTCCTGAAGCATCGTCCAACCAAGCTGAAGAGTCTCATCCACCTGGTCAAGCACTGGTACCAACTGGTATGGCATCTGGCCCATCTGCCATGAGCCCCGTCTATACAGGGGTGGATACAGCCAGAGAGTAGAAAGAGTATTCTAGTTTGCTTTCTATTGACATGATATCTTTGTTACATGACCAAACGGCACTTGGGAAAGAAAGGTCTTATTAGTTCACACATCCCAGTCACAGTCCATCCCGAAGGGAAGAAAGGTCAGTCACTGAAGCAGAGACCATGGAGGAATTCTGCTCACTGGCTTCCTCTCCATGGCTCACTCAGTTTGCTTTCATGTACAACCCAGGGTCATCTGCCCAGATGTGGCATCAACCAGAGTTGGCTGATCCCACCCACATCAATCATTAATTAGTAACATGTCCCCCACAAACTACCCTAGGCCAGTTGATGGAGGCATTTTCTTGGTTAAGGTTCCCTTCTCCCAGATGTCTAGTGGACCAAAACTAAACAGCACAATTGACTGCTTTTCAAGTTGATGCACAAACAGACCACTATTAAACCATAACCTTTCCTTTCTTGCTTATCCCTAAGATCTCATGTCTATATCACATTATAAAATACAATATAGCCTTCAAAGTCACAAAGGTTAAAAAAAAAACTCCAACACTTATAAAAATTAGTCTCTCAACTGTGAGCTCCTATAAAATTAAGAACACAAATTAAATACTCTCTTATCCTAGAGCAAAGGACCAGGGCACAGTCACAATCAGATCAAACAAAACCAAAAACAATTTTGCAACAGTGCAAAATCTCAGTGTCTGGTGTCTGGGACTCATCATTTTCTGAGCTTCAAAGGACCTGGCCTTTGTTCATCTCGGGCTCTGCCATCCACAGCACACAGCTGGTCTCACAGGCTCAGGCCAGCTCTGTTCACATGTTCTGCTCTCCTTGGCAATGGTCTCATGCTCAGGGGACCTTCAGTGTTTGAGGGGGTTCTCCACTACAGTCGAAGCTGCACTTTCTCCAATGGCCTCTCCTGGCCTCTCTCAGTGCCAGGCCTTAGCTGCTCTCCATGACCCCTTCAATCCTGCAGCCTTAGAGGGACTAAAATAGAACCACCTGGGAGACATCTCCACATTACAAGGTCTGGCTGTCACCATGAGATGCAGTCTTGAGTCCCTGGACCACAGCTTCTGTGTGTGACCATGAGGAAACTCTTTCCAGATGACTTGGCCTCCATGGTGAAGGTCTCTTCTTACTCTGAGCTGACTTTCAGCCCCAGCTGATGAGAAAGCACTGATTCTTAATTCAAAGATCTCACACAAACAGCCAGATAGAGTCTTTGCCTCCCTCTGAAACCTCACACACCAGCCTCCATCATCTGCCTGTCTGTCAACATTCATATCTTCCAAGTCCCCACAAACAGCCCTTTAGGCTCTAAGCACTCAACAGTTTTTTCAACCTAAATTTCCAAAATCCATCCACTATCCTGCCAAAGAGCAACATGGCGGGTGTGTCCCAGCAGTAGTCCACTCTCTAGGACCAATGTCTGTCCTCTTGCTGTGCTTACTACGGCAACAGAAAGCAGTTTGGAGAGGAAAGTTTGTCTGACTTACACTCCCACATCACACTCCAGCTCTGAGGAAAGTCTAAACAGGAACTTTTAGGCAGGAACTGAGGCAGGGATCATGGAGGGACTCTGCTTCTGCCCGATACCCCTGGGATGCTCGACCTGCTTTTTTACATGATTCATGACTATTTGCTCATGGGTGACATCACTGACAATGGGCTGATCCAATCCACATCCATCATTGATCAAGAAAATGCCTCCCAGGCTTGCCCATGGGCCAGTCTGATGGAGGCGTTTTCTCATTTCTTGTTCCATCTTCCCAAGATGAACCAAGCTTGTGTTAGGTTGATGAGAGAGAGAGAGAGAGAGAGAGAGAGAGAGAGAGAGAGAGAGAGAGAGAGAGAATGGCACAAAAGGTGAGAAAAAAGACAGGGGAAAAAAGTAGGGGGAAGGAGGGTGGTCTTGTATTTTGGAGAAGGAAAGGGGGGAGGGAGCCTTGGAGGAAGGAGGACTTTCTGGGATTGTTAGAAATGATTTCTCCTGGTCCATTTTTCCAATCCAGTAAACCCCTCTTCAGCCGTGTCTAATTCACTGTCCCATGTGTGCTACTTCATTTGTGTCTTTGGCAAATCCTTCATGTCACTTTCTATGGCTTCTGCTTTCCAGCCACTTCAAGCTATTATTTCTTTAAATGTGTGATTTCTTGTTATTTTGTGGGTGGTTTTTTTTTTTATGTGTTTGTGTGGTGTTTGTGTATGTATACCTGCTCATGGGAGCACATGTGTATCTGTGTGTATAATCACAAGGAGGGCACAGAGCAGTTTTAGGTCTGCAGTCCTTATCCACCTTATATGTATACAGGCAAGGTCTCAGACATGCATGCACCCACAGTGTGCTGAACCAGCAGGTCTGGACAGTCATATAGTCCTGGGGACACCCCTTTCTACCCCTGAAGCTAAAATTGTGAGCCAGCTTCCTCACCAAGCTGACATTCATGTTGGGGAACTGACCTCCAGCTCTCACAGCTCCTGGGCAGGCACTTTACCCACTGGGCCATGTCCTTGGCCCCTCCCCAGTTATCTCAGAGCCTGTGATAAAACCTTCAGTAGTGAGCATCACTACACCCTCATTCCCTGATTATCACTCACGGGTGTCATGATTCCTCCTATGCCTGCTGGCAAATGCGCAGTCTTTGTAGACCACACAGTCTCCATCTCAAGCACTCAGCCCTCGGGTGCATCACAGGACTTCCCATAGGCTGAATCTATTGGTTGTATGCCAATAAACCTATAATGACAACATCAGGTGGCAGTTGAATTGACCCCGTGAGAAGTGGTCCCCGCACAGCAGTTGATGCGACAGCCTGTTTTTTCTCATTGCCTTTCTCTTCTCAGTGTAAGGAGAAGCTGGGGGAACCACTGCCCCCCCAGTATGCCCTGGAGCTGCTCACAGTCTATGCCTGGGAACGTGGGAGTGGAGCCACTGAGTTCAACACAGCCCAGGGCTTCCGGACAGTCTTGGAACTGGTCACCAAGCACAGGCAGCTTCGAATCTACTGGAGAGTGTATTATGACTTTCAACACCAATATATCTCTGACTACCTGCACAGACAGCTCGGAAGAGCCAGGTAGCCTCTATACCCATGTGGCTCAGCTCTCCACCAGGGAGGACCAGGCTGCAGCAGAGACGGGGAGGTGGGAGTTCCATGTCAGTTAGGCATCTTCTGTCCTGTCACTGTGCTGGTCCCTGTCCTGCGGGCACCTGATTGACATGAGGACCTGCAGTCCTGGGAGGCGGGGGTGGACTCTCCTGTCTGCAGATGAGGAGACCAAGGCTCTGACCTTGTCCAGACCCAAACAGCAGAAGAAGGGGAGTACACTGTAGTTTTTTTTTCTTTTCTTTTCTTTTTGGGGGGGCTCACCACTCAGCTTCCAAATAAATATACAGACACTTATTCTTCTTGATGAACGTCCAGCCTTAGCTTGGCTTGTTTCTAGCCAGCTTTTCTAATTTAAATTATCCCGGTTTTCTTTAACTATTTTTTGCCTCTGGGCTTTGTATCTTTCTTTATTCTTTCCTTCTTACTCTGGAGCTGACTATGTGACTAGCCCCTAATGCCCTCCTCTCCTTATTTTTTTTCTTGCTCCTGCTTCTCCTCTCTCAGGCCTAGAATTCTCCTCCCATTTATTCTCTCTGTCTGCCAGCCCCGCCTATTCTTTCTCCTGCCTAGCTCCTGGCCAGTCTGCTTTTTATTAGACCAATCAGGTGTTTTAGACAGGCAGCTAACACAGCTTCACAGAGTTGAACAAAAGCAACATAATAAAAGAATGCAACACATCTCTGTATTGTTGAACAAATATTCCACAGCATAAATGAATCTTAAACAAATATTCTACAACAGTACATGAAGCAGCAACTGAGTTATTTCATCAATAACAGAAGTCAGAAGGGCTGGGAGGGCACCCAAAACCACCTGGACTAATTAACTGTAAACAATACAGTAGACTTGTCACACGTCTTGATCCTGTGTCGTCTTTAGCCCTCACACCCCATTCTTTTGAGATTGGCTGGTTCAACTCTCCCCATCTCACAGATTGGAGAGCATGCCAGACCCTCCCCAGGATGTACAAATACTAAAGGTACAGGATTGGAACCCAGGCCTTCTAGGTCACGGGCAAGATCCCTCCAGGCTTGCTCTATGCTGTGGGGCAGGGTTCAGGACAAAGTTTGGGTAGTGGTGATCTGCTGGGCTCCACTGCCCCTGTGCAGTGGTTCCTGGGACACTGAGTAGCTGGTCAATTCTCTCTCTGAATCTTGCTCTGCAGGCCTGTGATCCTGGACCCGGCTGATCCAACAAGGAACGTGGCTGGTGGGAACCCAGAGGCCTGGTGGCGCCTGGCTGGAGAGGCTACAGCCTGGCTGCAATGCCAATGCTCTTTTAAATGTTGCATGCCTCAAGTGGGCTCCTGGAATGTGCTGGTAAGTCCTTGTCCTCATCTTTTCCCCTTGCACACAGCTTTGGTCACTCCATCTCTTTGGAGAATATTCTCACAAAGATGTGATCTTTTGCTAAAGGTCTCCACACTCCTAGGGAGGCCAGCTGCTTCCCTGTTTTCCAGCCATTTTAGCAGCATTCAGAGATGTCACAGGCTGGCAAGATGGCCCAGTGGGTAAAGCCCGTGCTGCCAACACTGGTGACCTGGGCTTGATTCCTAGGACCCTAAGGTAGAAGGAGAGACCAACTCCTCCAAGTTTTCTCTGCGCTTCACCTCTGTGCTGTTACACATGTTGCATGTTACACATGACACACACACAAACTCTAACACTCACACACATTTACATCCAATCATACCCACACTTTCACACTCACATGCACTCACATACACAGGTGCACCCACACACTGACACACATAAACACAGAGAGTGTGAAAAGGAGGCTCAGAGCTGAAGCCACTGCTCAGGTCCATGGAACAACCCATCTCTCCTGCCTCATTAACATGTGGCTGATGGGACTCTTCTGGGCTTTGTCACAGGTAAAGAGGGACAGAGGAACCTGCATTTGGACCTTTCCTCTACTCGGTCAGGGGTCTTTCTGATGCTAGGGAACTGATGATGATGATGTGTTTGGCCTCAGGATGGACCTTAGTATGGGTACAGGGATGCTGGAACCAAACTTCAGAAGGTCAGGAAGGGAGTGAGAGGTGATGTGGGAGGGGCAGGTGGGGAGAGGAAAGGGGGGCAGGCTCCTTTAGTGCTGTCCCGCAGGAGACAGGTAGGTAGGTGCCTAGCCCCTCTCTCCCATTTGACAAACTGAACAGGAGCACCTTGGGTGGGGGCATGACTTCCAGGGAAGGACCCTGTCCACCCTCAAAGGCCTGAGCCCTGAAGCTAGCCTACTGGCCACCTTCCCAGCATCCCATAAAATGACCCAGGTGGCCCGTCACAGCACCCACCCTGGGGACTCATTTGCATCTTCTTCCCAGTTTGAATATGTGCTCCTGACATGATTGTGTGTTTTCTATTACAGACAGAAGTTGATGTGCCAAAGCAGGAGGTTCATTATTTTCATCACCTCTGTCTCTTTTTTCTGTTTGTCTTTCTGTATGATTTTTTGGGAGCTTTTGCTGCATAGCCCTTGCTGGTCTGGAAACCACAGTAAACCCTTCTGCCTCAGTCTCCCAAGTTCTGGAATTACAAATGTGAGCACCTCTCCTTACAATTTTAAAAATTACACGAAAAAACCAAAAAAAAAAAAAAAAAAAAAAAAAATTACATGGAGCTGGAGAGATGGCTCCGCGGCTAAGAGCACTTGCTGCTCTTCCAGAGGTCCTGAGTTCAATTCCCAGCAACCACATGGTGGCTCACAACCATCTCTAGTGGAATCTTCTGGCATAAAGGTGTACATGAAGACAGAGCACTCATGCATAAAATAAATGAATAAATCTTTAAAAAAAATTATGTGTGTGAAAGGATTTGCCAGACTATTTATCTGTGCACCATATGCATGCAGTACCCAGGTTAGCCAGAAGAGGGCACCAGATCCCCCTGGAACCAGAGTTCTAGACAGTTGTGAGCCATCATGTAGGTGCTGAGAATTGAACTCAGGTCCTCAAGAAGAGCAGCCAGCGCTCTTAACTGCTGAGCCATTTCTCTGGCCCATCTTACAAAACTTTTAAAGTGGCTGCTAGAAACAGTAAAACCACCTCATGGTTTGCAGGACATCTATGAGCTAGCTCCGTCCCTGCAGGGGAATTACTGGGTTGAAGAGCAGGCTGAGGAGCTGGCTCAGGCAGTACAGTGCTCACCTTGCAAGCCTGAGGACCGAATTTAATCCATTAAAAATCCCACGTGCTCCTTACTTGGTGGCTAAGAGCACTTACTGCTCTTGAAGGGGTCCCGAGGTTGATTCCCAGCATTCCTGTTTAGGTAGCTCACAGCCATTTCTAACTCCAGCTCCAATGAGATCAGACTACTCCGGCCTCCACAAACACTAGCACTTGTGTGCCCATGTCCACACACAGACATACACGTAGTTAAAAAACAGTATTAGTGTTAAGAAACCAAGGTGGTAGCATGCAGTTAGCCTGGTGCTGTAGAAGCATAGACAGGAGGCTCCTGAAGCTCCCTGGCTAGCCACTGTAGCCTAGTTGGTGAACTCAGGCCCATGAAAGATTCTGCTTTAAAAAAAAAAAAAGGTAGGTAGTGCCTCAGGAATGACACTCTAGGCTGACCTCTGACCCCACAAAACCACACACACACACACACACCACCACCACCACCACCACCACCACCACCACCACCACCACCACCACCAAACTAAATGGTTCCATAATTCAGTGCCATAAACCAGCAGCTCATTTGTCAGAACCATACATATGCAAAACCCTGGAACCACAGAAGACCTGTGTGCACTCACATCTTGGGCACTGCTCACTAAAAGTTCAGGGCATTGCACAGAGCTACCCACTCCCAAACCTGCTCCTCTCCCTAATGCCCACTCTCTTAATAACTGGGGGTGTGGGGTGTCCTTCCAGCACTCATTCATTCTCTTCTCACTATAGCAGCCCCTGAGAACCAGGAGCCCCGATGTCCTGGAGTGTGAGAAGACATGAGTCCCCTAGTGTTGTGGAATATTATTTTCAGGTGTGTTACTTTTGTTTATGTTGCATCTGTTTAACTCTGTGAAGCTGTGTTACTGCGCCTGTCTAAAACCCCTGATGGCCTACTAAAGAGCTGAACGGCCAATAGCGAGGCAGGAGAAAGAATAGGCGGGGCTGGCAGGCAGAGAGAAGATGTAGGGAGGAAGAAGAAGAAAAGAGATGGAAGAGAAAAGAGATCTCACAGAGCAGGAGGACTCCAGGGGCCAGCCAACCAGCTACACAACCAGCCAGCCACAGAGTAAAATTTACAGAAGAGAACAGGAAAAGCTCAGAGGCAAAACATAGGCAGGATAATTTAAAGTTAAAGAAAACTGGCTAGAAACTAAGCCAAACTAAGGCCAGGCTTTCATAAGTAAGAATACGTCTCTGTGTGTATTTATTTAGGAGCTGGGTGGCAGCTCCCCACAAAGAGTAAATACCCCCTACAATCCCCTAGACCTCAGAACACATCACACTCAGCCTTGTGCTCTATCTGAGCCTTTGGTGGACCCCTACAAAACCCTAGACCTCAGAATACACCACACTCTGCCTTGTGCTCTATCTGAGCCCTTGGTGAACGCAATGATGCTGGTCTATGATTCCAGTCTTGCCTCTTCTGAAACACCCCCAGATACACAAAGAAGGTTTTAACAAACAATAGCCAGGGGTGCCCCATGTCTCCTGCCAAGCTGAGGAGACCCATCATGTGAGCCCTCATGTACCCCACACTAAAGCAAGTCTACATGTGACATGTAATGGCCACATCCCATGTCTCCATGATGGAATGACTCCCTGTGTGGACCTCTGAGAGCCTTCCCAATGATAAAGACCATGGAGGTTAACAGCAGGCCACAGGATGAGTGATGAGCAGTCCTAGGGAGGAGCCACAAGGTGGCAGGATCAGGTTTCCATGACAACAGGGTGACTGAAGAGCATCTCTCAGATGGAGAAAGATGTCCACACTTGACACTTGCACACCACTGTGTCTGACTGCCATGTTGTGAAGCATCATGCTTGCTCCAGACTGGACCTGCCCAAGAGCCCTTTAGCCCTAAGCACAGTGCTCATCCTTGCTCTTCCTGTGGGCCCCATGTTGGTCCTGATTTACCATCCATGTCGTTGGGTTTTAAGCCTAGTCTTCACCTTGGACCTTTTGGCCAAGGTCGGGTGCTCTCTTGTGTTAGTCAGGGTTCTCTAGAGTAGAAGAACTTATAAAAATGAATCTCTATGTATACAGAAAGGGGGTTTATGAGTATGACTTATGGGCTGTTGTCCAGCTAATCCAACAATGACGGGCTATTTACAGAGCATCCCAGAATCCAGAAGTTGTTTATCTGGTCTTCTGTATATGCTGGAATCCCAAAGAACTAGGCTCTAACGCCAGTGAAGGGATGGATGGGCTAGCAAGGCAAAGGCAAGCAGGCAAAGCACAGAAGCTTCCTTCTTCCATGTCCCTTATACCAGCAGAAGATGTGGCCCAGATTAGAGGTGTCTTCCTTCTTATGTAACCATTTAATTCTCTGTGTGGAGGTTAGTAGTGTGTGCATGTGCATGTGTGTATAATTCCAGAGCTGGGGAGACTGAGGTAGAAGGATTGCAGTGAGTTCCAGGCAGCCTGGGACACATAATGAGACCCTCTCTCAGAAAGAGGGGGAGAAAGAGACAGAGACAGAGACAGAGAGAGAGGGAGAGACAAAGCTGACACTCCTTGTGATTTAACTCAAGGCACCAGAAGTTCATAATCACTACAGACAAACCATGTTTCGTTTCAAAGTCACCATAGTCACAAACTCCATGCACTTTTTCTTTGTCATGCACACCCTCGAACCCCAGCCTGCATGTTGCAGCCATGGTGCATCATCACACGCAATGCTCACATTCCCAGATCCCTTTGGCCATGTGCAGCTGCAGAACAGCTTCTGAGTCACATGGGGGCAGGTCTAGAATCTTGTCTTGGGACATGGACAGAAGGAACCAAGGATTCCTGTCTTTGGTTTATGTACAAGTGACCTGGAGGGATCCCCAAGCCACCCGGAATAAAAAGCTGTAATGATTTGGTTCTGCTCTGTCCACTGCTGAGTGTTCAGTGCCTGGACTCATGGGGAGCATGTAACAAGTGCTCAATAAATGCATCTAGTTGAACCACGAGTGTCCATACAAACACACACACACACACACACACACACACACACACACACACACACACACACACACACACACCTATGTCTATACTCTATGACTCATCTCACACACCCTCATGGCATCGGCTGTGGTTTATTGTTTATCAGACATTGGACAGAACCTCCCAACAGACACACAGACAGAAGTCAAGTTGGAATTCTCCCCCACCCTTCTGCATCTCTTGTCCCCCAGGGAACACTGTCAGAGGATACAGCTGATGAAGCAGGCTGTAAGGAAGGCTGTCTGTGATGGGACAGGGTGGAAGGGTAGGTGGGCCAGGGTCAGAACCCTGGAGTCTGACTCCAGGTTGGACACTCCATCACTGGGGCCTTGGCAGCATCCTGACCTCTCTGGTCAAGGCCTGCAGCAGAGGAGCACATCCCCCTGACTCTGGGAGCCTTCTGGGAAGGGTGCTACTGAGCTCACAGGAGGACACATGCTCCATTCTCATCCACCTGAGGATGGATGGAAGGCAGGGCACATCAGGTCTACACTGCAGTCATCCCAGCACTAAGGCAGGAGGATGGCAAGCTCCAGGCTAGCCCATGCTATGCAGAAGCAGCCCTTGAAATACCAAAAACAAATGAAAACAACAAAATTAAACAGACATTACGGAAAAAATGAGTCTCCTGGTTCTCCTGGTGTGGTACACCAACCTCCGTCTGCAACAGAAAACACACAATCATGTCAGGAGCCCACGTTCTTATTGGGAAGGGGGTATAAATGAGCCCTGAAGGTGGGTGCTGTAACGGGCCATCTGAGCCCCTTAGACAGGATCTGGGAAGGTGGCCAGTAGGCCAACTTTAGAACTCAGGCCCTTGTGGGTATATAGAGTACTTCCCTGGAAGTCATGCCTCCCACCTGAGGACCCCTCATTCATTTATAGATCTGTCAAATGAGAGAATGGGCATAGGCAACTGTCTGCTGCATGGCATCCCTGGAGGCCAACTGTCTGCTGCATGGCAACCCTGGAGGCCACTATTGCTTCCCATGCTTCTCCCCCACATCCCTAATGTCCCCTCTCACTTCCTTCTTGAACTGGGGTTTGGTTCCAATATCCCAGGCTAAGCTCGGCCACCCATGCATGGCCAAGGGAACCATCGGTTCCCTAACATCAGAAAGCCCCTATACCAGGAGGGGGAGAGTCCAAGTGCAGGTCCCTCTGTGCCTCTTTGGCTGTGACACAGGCCCCCCCCCCCCCGAGTGCAACTGACCCCATGACAACGAGACAGGAAAGATGGGCTGCTCCTTGGACCTGAGCACTGGCTTCAGAGTCCACGGGAATCCCAGCCCCGTTTATCCTTAGCTGAGCGT